AACCGAGACTTGTTCAAATCTGCTTTCATGGCAGTCTTCAACAACTTTTATCCTTCTCCTAGCGAGCTCTTGCATCAACCAACCTCTCCTGCTAAGAACTACTAGTGCATTGACTGTTGCACCACACCTCAAAAGCTCTGAAGCCAACTCCACCATTGAAATTGGAGCGCCAGTCACTGAGAGTTCGTGGAAAAACAATACGAATCTGATTTCCTGTCACAGGTCCCAGACCGTCTATGCGGGCTCCATTCAAGAACTGTATCCTCTAGTGATCCAAAAAGCTTACCATAAGTAGCATTTGTCATTAGAAGTTCTAGATCTTGCTCATCATCCAAAACTTTAGCCTCAACCACTTTAGTCACCTTCTGCTTATTAACACGGATCTTACTACGTGAAGTCTGGCTACTTTTTTTCGTCTTCTGCCTAGAACTCAAGCTCCGTCGAGAAGCCCCATCCTCTTTCTTGATCAGACTAACATCAATCCTTTTATTCACATTCCTTTGATGACCAAAGCATCAGAAGCCTCATTAGCAACAGAACCCATTCCTTTGTTCTTCTCCACATGTAAAACATCTTTTCTCAGTAAAAACTCAACACTGTTTTCATAATCATGTGCCCACCTTGACTGAACATATAACCCAAGATACGTCCAAAGAGTAATCAATAGGAGCCAATAAACCAATCGGCTACTACGAAACCACTGAACAGGGCCTCCTCAACCACCTCTACCCTCTCTATGCGGTGTCCTACCCGAATTCACTCTAGGTGAACCCCTTGGAGTAGACCTCCCTGACAGTGAAGACTTAAAGGTTGCTTGTCTCAGCGACGATAACCCGAATCTCATCCATGATTTCAAAGGTTATGATCTCATTACAAAAATCATATCAGCCACAAAAACCAAGCCGCTTCAGTCCACGAACCTCAACCTAGTAAAATAATCATGCAACCAGTCTATATAACACACATCAAAGAATGATTAAGATATGATGATGGCTATATATAGACTATAGTCTTAGTTCTGATTCAATTCCATCAAACTCTACTTTCCAAAAAAATATGATACTAGAAGAATAGTATAACTGGTTATAATAAGACAGACCTAAACTCCTCTCATGACCTGCATTTAGCTATCATCGTCACCATCTTCTGTTTTTCTCTTTGATGCAGGCTTCTTACCACGACCCTTTGGTTTCTCTCCTTTACTTGGTTTAGCACTATCATCTTCTTCCTCAGATTCTTGTTCKTCTTCCTCTCCATCGTGTTTTTACCCGGTCTGGCCATGGTTGCTTTTTCCGCGTCTTTCCCAGTGAGTTTCTGTAGCTCCGGAACATAAGATGTTGTCTACAGAAATAACAACCAACACACAAAAAAACATTTCTTCACTTCACTAATCACCCACAAAGTAACAGTGCCTAACAAATGCATTTATATGCTTACCCTACCACCAGCAGTAATGAAATCAATCTTGTTCCCTGCAATAACAAAAACAGACTTCGTTACGAATCACTGAATTCAGAAACCCATCAATGAAGAACCAAAATTTCTATAATAAACAAAATAAAAGTCTAATACTTATGCATCAAAATCATAAAGGTCGACACTTTGAACTGTGAAAAGTCCTAGATTTTGGCAATTGTTCAAATTTTGATGTAATTCAGGTTGATATGGTAAAAGAAATCAATAAAGTCTTATACTTTCACTCCTTTCTTATGCATCAAAATCGAGACTTTGAACTCTAAACAGTCCCGCATTTCAGCAATTGTTCAAATTTTGATGTAATTTAAAGCCCAAAGTTTGTTTCAGAGGGAACTTACCGGATAGTAATCTAACTGGAACCAGAGGTTTTTCCCTTTCCGACAAGCAGAGACAGAGACGATGGGCTTTTCCGATGTGAATTTATGAAATACTTTTCTCAATTAATCACAAAACAATAAACAAAGTTTATATACACTTGATAAATCGAAATGTAAACTATAACCAAAACCTGTTACACTAAAGAGGTATATACATAAACCTATGAACTTAAT